CGATTGAGACAACACTGTCGTAGGGGGTCCGGGGCATGCCCCCGCGAAATTTTTGTGTTCTAGACGCCCGAACATAACATTTGAGGCATTCTGGGCTATCATTTTTTTTTCTTTTTCTCTCTTTTTTTTTTCTTTTTCCCCTTTTTTTACCTCCCAAAAGGGGGAGGCCGGGGCCGGGCCTCCCCAACCCCGAATCCGCCCCAGGAATCTTTTCTGATGTTTCTCTAAACCAGTATTTATTATACATTCTCATGTGCTCTGTCCACCTCTGATTTCTGTCTTCAGACAAAAAAACAGTTAATAATAATATAAATAGGCCTATCTTTTAAAATATGGCCAATATCATCCATCTAATTTAATCAGAGGTATCACACTTCACTAGATAAACAATAACAAACATACACTATGGAAATATTGAGGATTGATTTTACATTAATGGCATACGCTTTTCATCTTTTAGACAGATTAAGCAGGATCAAACAAATTTCACTTCTTATCTGGAGATAAAATGTGTCTGAGACTCAAAGTTCCCCGATTCCACACCACCTTCCTATCCCTCCCCAGCGACAAAGAAAAACAAAGCACTGTACCCTGATAGAAAAATCAAAAAAAATATCCCCTAACTGAACAAGTACAAGGATATTTTTTTCCCTTTTAGATTTGCCCTTTCTAAGCAATGGTAGGTCTATATCGGCTACCGACCAATGAGCTTATAAAGACAGATGCACAATGATGCCTCTGGTAGGTTTCAATTCGCAATCGAGTGAAATTTCATGAGTGGCCTTTTACTTGAAAGAATTAAAGTTTTTCACCCACTGATTTGTTTTGTTTAGGTCTATTTCTGGTTTATATTCTTAATTTAAAGCAAAGATTATTGAACCAAAAAATTAAATACCCACGCAGTATTAACGAATAATACCGTAGTATAAGCAAAAGCATGCATAGCCGAATTTTGAGTGTGATAAACAGCTTGTGTATATTTTATCCCGCCATGGTATGTATGATCAGCGGTGTGGCCAGAAATTTGTCCGACGTGTCCGACGAAGGGGTCCCACCCAAGGGTCGGCGAGGCCTCGTCGACGGTATGGAATAAAAATCATTTGATAGTGTTGTTCAAGGAGGTTGTTTTTATGGCTTAGTAGTATGGTCCAAAATGTTCTTTTTTAGACCACAATATTAGGGATTGGCAATCAAAATAACGTTATTTGGATAGGAAAATTATATATTTTTAAAAATTTTCGATCCGACGACCTGGTCGTTCGTCTGACGACAAGGGGCCCAGGCCTGTCCGACGGGGAGAGGGAATTTTTATGTCAATTCCAAGAATGTTCAGTCATCCCCCCACCTCCCAATGAAAAATACTTTTCTACGCCACTGAGGGGGATCCGGGGGTCCTCCTCGCGAAAATATTGATTCTTAGATGGCGGAAATGAGCTTTCCCGACTTTTGAGTCTTTTTTGAATGACTTTATTTTCTTCGAAATTCAAGGTTTCCCCCCTCTTGAAAACGGTCAGATAAACTTTCTCATTCTTACTACAGTAAATAGGCCTGTTATGTGTGTATACATGCATAAAACAAATTGAGTAGTTGCATACCTATTGTTTTTTTCCATGAATCGATAAAGCTCAAAGAGAAAGGGGGATCGGGTTTTCGCCCCCAGGAAAATCAGTTCACAGGTCCTGAAAACTTAGGTCTTGAATTCTTTTTTTTTCTTTTTTCTTTTTTGCCCAAGAAGGGGGTCAGGACCTCTGACCCACTCCCCCCCCCCCACCTCAAAATTCGCCAATGTGAATTTCGAGAAAATGTAACTCGGACGGGGACTGAATAAACACTTTCTGTCCTCTCCCCCCCCCCAACCGGTTCCGCCTGCCATGCATATATACCAAAAAAACTAAAGCATTCTTGGTATTAAAAGGAATGTAAATCAAATAACGAAATTTATAGGCCAACGTGTTTTAATGTCTTCTGTAGACTGTGCACACTGCTGTTGTTCTCAACACTGACTTCATAAGCCAAAACTGGAACTATCGAAATTAAAATAACAATTGAGTAAAATTTCAACCATGTCGTTTTCAAGTGCTGAAAAAATATAACCATTCAGAAGTCAAACAATCATCGACCCTGACAATAGCCGTCATGGAATTCTTTCTTTGTATAAATTTCAATGTGACACGCTTAAGTGCACGAGAGCGTATTATTTTGTAAGAAGACTGCAGTAATTATTGCTCTAAGTTAGGATAACTTATATACACGGGTGTTATTTTCTTGCATATTTCTGAAATACGGTATCCGAACCCGAGTTGTAGATACGTCTTGATATAGGTTGGTGCGTATGCAGGTAAAATATAACCGTGTATATCCATTTATTATAGTCAACTTTTATGTTAGTCTTTTAAAGACCGGCACTATCGTTATCAGAAAAATCTTCTTTACAATACCACCAGTCTCAGAATAGAGTCACGGACAAAGGAGTGTTCATATTGTAATCATAGGTGGTTTTTGTTTGCAATTATTTGACTATCGCTCAGAGCACATCTCCCTGCTCAAAGTATTAGTTCTGACACATAAATACTCATGCTAGAGGTTGAAAGCAGAAAGTGGCTTCAGTCCATTTTTGGATACGCCTGGCAATGTTAACCCAGTGGACGGGTGGTTAGGTGGTGCCGTGAGGGAGGGGGAGGGGGAGCATATAGGCCTACTAGTTAATATGATCTAAATAAGGATATTACTGCACATAGAGGGTAATATATTAGAGTGACACCTACTGCAAACAGTGGCGTATCTAGAAGTCTTGAAGTGGGGGTTGATAGAGGGACGCAAAGGTGAAGCGGGGGATCGATGGTCAGTTGAGAGGCGCAAATTCGCAAAATAAGGTGAATTTAGGTGATCTTTTAACTACTTGACCTGATTTTTTTGAAGGGGAGATTGGGGGAGCGAGTATTTTTTTTTCTGTTGGGGGGGGGGGGGTTGCGCAACCCCTAGATACGACATTGACTGCAATTACTGATAAGATCTGTTGGTGTTTCAATCATTTAAAAAAAAAAACATCATTTGATATTTTACCTCAGCTTCAATTTGTTCATAATATTTTATTCAAAATATTGAAACAATTTCAGCCTCAGTGGAAAGATGTGCTTTTATATAGAATTTAACATTTCCTAACATTTTTTCACATGGTATTCCAGATTTGCACTGAATTTGTAAATCAGGTATAGAAATCAGTGACACTAAAATATCGAATAGATAATCATAAACTTCGACTAAACTACTGCCTGATATTTTTTCTTTGACCTAGGTACCTCCGTATGTCTTGCTGAGGTTGGCTGAAGAAACTTTGAGTGAGTTTAGGACATTTATTGTCAAAAAATGAATAGAACAGTGGCAATAGAAGGAAAGGCAAAAGTCTACACACGACTTATATGCATTTTAATAGGAATTTCAATAGATTCCTTGTCTTCGTTAACAATAAAAACATTAACTCCAAGATTTGTTACTTTTACCGATTGCGCGAATACCACATGTCCGAAAGCTATAACGACGGGGAGATTGGGGGAGCGAGTATTTTTTTTTCTGTTGGGGGGGGGGGGGTTGCGCAACCCCTAGATACGACATTGACTGCAATTACTGATAAGATCTGTTGGTGTTTCAATCATTAAAAAAAAAAAACATCATTTGATATTTTACCTCAGCTTCAATTTGTTCATAATATTTTATTCAAAATATTGAAACAATTTCAGCCTCAGTGGAAAGATGTGCTTTTATATAGAATTTAACATTTCCTAACATTTTTTCACATGGTATTCCAGATTTGCACTGAATTTGTAAATCAGGTATAGAAATCAGTGACACTAAAATATCGAATAGATAATCATAAACTTCGACTAAACTACTGCCTGATATTTTTTCTTTGACCTAGGTACCTCCGAATGTCTTGCTGAGTTTGGCTGAAGAAACTTTGAGTGAGTTTAGGACATTTATTGTCAAAAAATGAATAGAACAGTGGCAATAGAAGGAAAGGCAAAAGTCTACACACGACTTATATGCATTTTAATAGGAATTTCAATAGATTCCTTGTCTTCGTTAACAATAAAAACATTAACTCCAAGATTTGTTACTTTTACCGATTGCGCGAATACCACATGTCCGAAAGCTATAACGACAGTGCCGGAGATGCAAGTGTACGGATTAAGTATCGTGTTTGCTAGTCCGGAAGCAATGCACATACTGACATTGCCATTTGCTAGAATGGTATTCGAGTCAACTGGATTCGATCTCCCGCTAATTATTGGGTTATTCGCCCAAGCATGCTCTTCGTTATGTTTCGCTTTTGGTAAAAGTATGGCTTTGTATATAATCGCACGCGTATTCCTTGGCGTAGGGGCGGCGTTTATAGGGACGATAGGACTACGTTACATTGCCGAATCAACGAATGAACCAAAAACTCGTGACGCACTGTTCGCTCTTGTGTATTGCCTTAATGGTTTTGCAGTCATTGGGCCGACGTATTCAGGAGTCATTGTTTATTTTTATGGCATGCTTCCGTGCTTCCTTCCCCTTGCTATATTGTCTTTTCTTTGCATTATCATTCTCGTAGCAGTGACCCGAATACAGACGAATGTTTCCGAATCTGTAATGACGTGGTATCGAAACACAGACGAGAATGTGTCATGTGGAGAACTCTTACTAGATCCATACGTAGTTTTGACCGCATTTGGAATTGCCTTGTCACAGATACCTGAAGCATGTTTAGCTCCTGGATTAGCACTGTGGATCACAGAGACGTACGGTTTGCCAATATGGATAATAGGCATGGCATTCATTCCCGCGTTTTTTGCGTACCAGGTAAGTATACTGTTGTCCATGCTGGTCACGTCGAAGATACCAAATCACGTGTACATAATAACCATATTTGGATATATTTTCGGAGCAGGTGGCAACGTAATTTTGTCAAGGGACAGAGGCTACCCATATTTCGTAGCTGGTTTAGCTATCATGGTATTTTCACTAACAATATCCAAATTTTGCTTAGTTGCGATACTTGCTTCAGTTGGCAGAATTCGGTTTTCATCGTCACCCGGTCGGATTTTCTCGGTATTCAAATTAAGTGCACTAGTACCCTTTGTTATAGGACCCATCATATCACTACCAGGAGATCGAGCCATCGGGCTCTCTAATGTGTCAATCATTACTGCTTCTATGTGTTTACTATTTGCACCGTTGATATTTATTCTGCGACAGATTTCCAGTCCGTATTCAGGGAATGAAGGAAAACGATTGGTTGAAAAGAAAGCCAGGCCGTATGTGGACGAATCCGATGCATCATATGACACATCGAAAGAAACGACCGAATCGGAAAATGAAATTCCAGATTGAGAGTGTTAATTGGTGGAGCCAGTGTGCCAATGAGGGACGGGGAGGGAATAACAGAAGAAGCCACATTTCGTTGGGGAAAACTAATTTGAAAATGCAATTTAAAATTGAACACTGAAATAATTTAAAAAATATGATCAATAATTCATTAAAAAAAAACAAAAAAACCCACCATAATTTGCAACTTCACAAGTGAAAAGACAAGAACTTCAGAGTTAGCGAATGGTCTGATTGCAAAATGTAAAAATATAGTTATGTCAATTTTCATTATTATAATTTTAATTGAAATATTATATGGGTGAGACTGGCTTTCAATAATGCTGATTAAATGTATACATAAAATAGTCCTACTAATCGATAAGTTATTTAAATATACCTAACCAGAATGTAGTAAAATGTGATGGTTATGAAATTGTGGCTCTATCTTCAATGGACCTTTCCGCTAAGCCCCACCCCTTGGATATTGTTGCTAAGGTCCCACAAGGCGACAGTGTTAAAACATAGGCGAACACGTGCGTTAGTGGGAAAACACGTGTGTTTGTGAGACGCGCGCGTATTCCTAGCGCTGTACTGATTAGTCAGTTGTTAAGTTTGATTGACACTCCGGAAAGGTCAATTAAAGGGCGGGTCAGTGATACTTTAAGTAGCTCCGAAAGTTTAATACTGAGTGGAAATTTGTGTAAGGGTGCTCTTTTATATTATAACTTTGAAATTAATAAATGATTTTATCATTAATCTATACATGTTTTGTAGTTACTGACTTACTTTTTTTTTTCAATCACACCATCATTCACGCCTCATAGAGATGGTAAGACCAAAATATTAGATCTGTTTCCTTCAGATCCTTCAAGGGACGACAGTCAAATGAATAACCTTTAACCTTTAACGGTGGTGATGATCAGTGTGACCACTGCTTGGGTATTTACCCAAGATCTTGGGTATTTTGACTTGGTCTTGGGTTCTTGGGTATTCCGTTCAAATCCTTGGGTATTTTATTTTTACTAAGAAAATTAAATATTTTGTCATAGAGAAAGAATTAAGAAGTAACAAAGTATATGTCAGTCCATTCAACGAAGTGCACATAACATTGTTAATTGACTGTTAATTGCTATAAACACGGGTTCAGAATTATTTATTTGTGATTTGCGTTGCCATCGATTTTACCTAATTAATGCATTACATAATAAAACTTGATCACCGATCTACTGATAACACTGGCCGACTGAGGGCGTATTTTTATCTGTATTATCACCTCATGAATATTAACACAAACAGTTACAATAAAAATGGTTTATAAATTGAACTAAAAGGGAAACTATACATGCGAAAAACACGGTTTTTTTCAAATTTTAATGCATTTTCACGAAGCTTGGGTAACTTTGGGCAATTTTTGCTGAATCTTGGGTAATTTCGACCCAGTCATTGGGTATATCAAAAATAGTGATTGGTCACGCTGGTGATGATACTGATGATGATGATTATGATGATGGCGGTGATGACGATAATGATAACAAATGGCGAATGTGACAATAATGACAACGATGATGATGACGATATTGGCGACGATGATGTTCTTTGTGTAATGATGATGACACAGCTGGCTGCTCAGAGAAACCTGCTAATAGGAGTCCAAGAAGTCAACAGGAGATCCTATATCAAGGGGCCTGTGGTCAGTATACAAAAAGATTATCGGTTTCTGGACAAAACGGCAAAAAAACAAAACGGCAATGACCAAAACGACAATGACCAAAACGGCAATAAACCAAAACGGCAATGATAAGACCAAAACGGCAACAGACCTAAACGGCAATGTCAATTACCAAAACGGCAATAGACATAGACCAAAATGGCAAAGGAGCAAATGAATGCCAAGACTGAACCGCCACCGGGTTTTTTTTATTACATATCCATGACGAATGATTTCGTTATTTTTTCTTACTTGAATCTTCGGGCTCTGAAATAAGGCGTTAGCCTTTTAAACGCCCACCATTTGTACTTATTTCCTGTTAAAATTGGTAGCTAAATTTGTCTTGCATTGCCCCCCATCTTTGTTGAGAAGATCTTTAAATGAGTATAGGCTTTCTGCTTGTACTGTTTGGTCGTCGAGATTGTTCCATAAGTTTATAACCCTCACACAGTCTTAAAGTCTTATTTATCTTTTTTTTTCTTTCCCTTTTTGTACTTTCATGACATAAATTGTTTAGCCTCATATTATCTGTATTTTAAGGTTTTAATTATTTTAAATGTTTAATTGTTTTATATTGTATATATTATATTGTGTTCCCCAATCTTTCTTACTATTGAATTTGTATGTTTTAATGTTGTTGTTGTTATTATTACTATTATTATTATTTTTATTATTATTATTATCGGGCCTATTAGACCTAAGTGTTTTTTTCCGCACTTTTTTATTTTTATGATATAAATTGTTTAGCCCCATTTTGTCTGTATTTTAAAGTTTTAATTATTTAAATGTTTACTGCTTTTATATCGTGATTCCCCCAATATATTATTATTATAATTATTATTGTTATTATTATTATTATTATTATTATTATTAATGTTGTTCTTCTTTCGCCTTTTTTACTTTTATGACAATTTAGCCTCATTTTCACCGTATTTATCGTTGTACACTACCATGTTTATAATTGGTTTTATGTAGTGCCACATTAGAATTAAGCTTTACTTCTTAAAGTCATAGACCATCCTTGCATCATCTCTTATTGTAACATTTTTTGTCCTGCCTTGTGCGATAAAGATTATAAACAGTTTCATTGAACTCAATTCTTGCTTATTAACCACCTGCTTACCTAAGATTGTACTGACACTAGTTTCAAATCACGGTCAAGTAGTTAAAAATCACCTAAAATCACATTATTTTCCGAATTAGAGCCCTTTAGATCATCGACCC